AGTTAAATTATATGAAGAACATCGTGGCACAGGGCTGGAGGAAGATCAGGAAGTTAATAATAATAACTTAATAAACAATCTGCAATCGGCAGATGATACAACCTTGCTTGCTGAAAGTCAAGAGGATTTAAAGCACGTACTGATGAAGATCATTGACCGAAAACTTCAATATAAGTTGCATCTCAACATAAAGAAGACAAAACCCTTCACAACCAGATTAATAAGCAACATCATGATAAACAGAGAAATGATTGAAGTTGTCAAGCATTTCCTTTTACTTAGATTCACCATCGATATCATGGAAGCAGCAGTCAAGAAATCTACTACAAAAGACGTTTTCCAAGTGGTAAATAGCAAACACATAGCATTGAGCACTAAGGTTTATCTGACCCAAACACATAGTATTTTCAATAGTCTCATATGCACGGAAAAGCCAGGTAATGAATAAAATGACCAAAGAATAACCGATACACTTGAATTAGGATATTGGTGAAGAATATTGATCATATTCTTGGCCTGCCTGGCAGGGAACTAACAAATCTGTCTTGGAAGAAATTCAGCCAGAATACTCCTTAGAAACAAGGCTGGTGGGACTGACTGAATATGTTCTCAGGAGGAGCAGTACCTACAGAAGGACATCACGCTTGGGCAAGAAGAAGGCAGTGAATAAATAAGAAGAAGACCCTTAAAGGGACTGATGAACACTGTGGCTGTAATAAAGGTTCATACACAGACATGATTGCGAGGATGGGCAGTACTTAGTTATGCATGGGGTCATTATAAGACTCTTTGGCACCTAACAACAATAACAATGTGCTTGCACTTAACCTCCTTTGGGAATGGAATGTTATGTGATGTGATGTTGTAATGTTGTCTTATAATGTCAATGAGGTAGGGTTAGTGTATGGTCTATCTTTCATCTCTTTTGGGAAGAAAAGAGCTTAAATACAAACTAGCAAGCAGATCGGAGATTTATAAATTCAAGATAGGAGCCCAGAGATAACAGGCCTACAACTGCTGAAAAGAGACATGGACCTTCTCTCCGAGCCAAGAATGAGACCAAACCTTCCCTTCCCTAAAACTCGTGCCCCGATTCCAAACGTGGAGTCTCCTCAACTGGGAGAGAAGAAAGCCATCCGTTTGCAGTGTTTCTGTTCCAGCAGCCCTTAATAACCAAGACAAGTCTATTTTCTTTTTAAAAGTGGCCGTTCTATATTTGAATTAAAAAAAATATTCAGTCATTTTTTAAAGCTCAGTACTCTGTTCAAAGGTAGAAATGATCTCTCCCCTGTAACTGCTGAATCGGATCACAGAACAGTCGGTTGTGTTCAGTGATGGCCTTGCTCTTTTCAGTAATCATTCGCGTGTACAGTTTCTCCACTCAGCTCAGTAGATCACAGTCTGCTTACTGCAGAACAGTTGGGCTGATTTTAAAAGGCTTGTCAATGTTCCAGGATGAACTCTTTGGGAAAGGGTTGCTGTATCTCTTGATTTTAGTGTTGTTTAGATGCCCCTCCCTCTTGTAGTTGATATTAAAATTTAGACTTTTAAGTGCGTTCCTATCATTTATGGAAAGGAAGTTCCAAAGAAGTTTCAAAATTCCTATTATAATTCAATTCTATTTTTAAATGCATTTTTAAAAGCCCCGTGGCTTGTAGCATGAGCATCCATTGAGCATATATTCTTTTCCTCTCATAAATTATTGATTACATGTATGAAGTATATATTTTCACTACTTTAAAAACCTTATTGTGAATTGGGTGGAGGGAGACAGAGTAGACCATCAGGTTTCCATCCAACAATTCAGGCACTTTTTCCATCGTCTCTTTCACTGCAACGCCTTCAATGCAACACCACTGACCCTACATCTTCCCTGTGTTTCCTGCAGCCACTCTTGCTTTCCTGCCCCGTCTGAAGGTGGGCGATTCTGAGCTGTGTGTACTTCGCTCGGGTTATAGTTCCCTTTCTAGACCTGTCTAGTGTTCAGCTGACACTACCTGTCTAGTGTCAGTGTACACATCTTTTAGTTAGATATATGACTTGCAAATGCATTCAATCTATGCTTGTCTTTTTATTATTTGAACACTGTTTATAAAGAGGAGACATTCTTAATATTGATGAGGTCGAATATTTCCTTTTCTTTTATGAATGGTGCTTTTAGCTAAGAAATCTTTAACTAACTCAAGATCACAAAAGTTTTTTGTTTGTTTATAAAAACATTTCCCCATTGAGAGGTAATTATTGCATAGCATATAGGTATGAATCAGATTTTCTTTTGCACTTAACTAGCACTATTTAATTTAAAAACTATCATGTCTCTACTAAATTGTTTTGTGCCTATTTCCAAAATAAATGGGCTATATGTTTGTGAATATCTTTCTATACTCTTTATTCAATTCTAATAACCAATTGATCTGTAATAGAAGGCAGAGAAAGGTCAAAATGTTATGAAAAAAAGAAAAACAAGTGCAGTGTTTTTCAGATGCTAAGTAGAGAGAAAATCATAATAGATTGGATCATATTATTTGATTCACATTGGGATGGAAATCTGCAAAGGATTCATGGGAAAGTTAGCATCCCAGATATGCTGGGAGTAACTAACTAAGTTCATGAAGCCCTGTATAAGTAGGAGTCACGAGAGACTAGTCTTTCCAGAAGTAAAAGTAGCTTGAATTTAGGAAGATTTGAGAATATCTGAAGATTCGTGATTAAACCAGGTTGTTTGGAACTTAAGGTACATGTAGAAGGAGTAATGGGAAACGTATGCAATTCCACATTGGACCACCTTGTTTACATATTCACTCCCCAAAGTTGTAATTATTTTGAAAACAGGTTTTGGTGGTATACACACAGGTGCCCATGCACAATATGTATTTAAATATATGGGTACCTTTATATATGTTCTTATCTATGTCTGCATACATGTATTCTTCCCACATCCTGAGGTACACTAACAGATGCCAAGTAATTATATACAAACTGAAATGGTATTTGAGCCACCTGTGTGGCAATATTTTTGCTTATAAATAGCTAATCATCATTAGTGGGGTCTCTGGTCATAGGTTATATCAGGGGCTGGCAAACAACAACTCTTGAACAATATGCGGTTCTTTCAGTGTATACATGTGGCTATGAAGTAAAATGGAAAGTTTCGAAAAGATATTATTCAGACACGGTGATTTCATTTGTTTGTAAATATATATTTATGGATCTTGAATAAGTTTAAAATTGTTGTGAAGGACAGGATTGGCTCTTCTGTCTCAAAATTTTGCTGACCCCTGGGAGTGGAAATATATATATCCCTGAACTCTTATCTATCCTCTATCTATACCCCTGAACTCTATCTCTCTATCTATATGTATTTCCACATCTACATCTGTCATCTACATCTATTCTCACTGCCATTGAGCGGTGCTGATTCATAGCGACTCCATAGTTGCCCTAGACTAATGGGCCCAAAACTGCCCAGAGTGAAGCATCAAGTTACAATTTGGGAATAAGAAGAACACATGCAGGTCTGGCATAAGAGCACTATTTTCCACTTGGCATGCTCAATGTAATTGATGAAAAAGCCAAATCATTGTTTAAAAAGGATGCTTTTTAAAAAACTGAATTAGGTAACATGTTTATTTTATGTTATGCATGTGACTGTGATTTCTTCATCAGCTTTGACGATTTACCCATAGGCTGGTGTAGGACAGGCAAGTAGTATATAGCTATTTTTCTTAAAATAAGGTAAAAATCCTCTTAAATAAATACAGTACAATATAATCTTAGATAAATTGCTTTATTAGAAAATAAAAAGACTAGATAAGACCTTATGTACCTAAACTCACTTATTTGATTTAAGGCATATTTATAAATTAATCTCTTCTGTAACCCAAGACTGCCTATATTAGAATCTCATTAATGGCTATAGCTGAATCAAGTGTGATTTGGCAAGATACTTCCTTTGGGAATAAATGCAGGCTATTATGAATTAAGACATATGCCTGTGAGTAGTTCATATAGGTGTATTCCATCCATGAATTCTTTGTTTTGATTAACTTGATTTAACAATTAGGATTAGGTGCCTCTGCATATAAAATAAATCTCAAAATAATAAAATTCCACAATTCACTGCTGACTCATAGTGACCCTACAGGACAGGGGAGAATGGCCGTGGTGTGTTTCAGAGACTGCAACTCTTGATGGGAATGGAGAGCCCATCCTTCTCCGGGGAAGTGGCTGGTGGTTTTGAACTGCTGCCTTTTCTATTGCAACCCAACATATCCCTAACCACAAAGGCACCAAAACAAATTCAGAGATGAAGGCAATTGCAGCGAGTGTCGCAGACAAGCCTGAGAGGCGGCAGAGACATCTTTAAACATGTGTCATTTGGAACAAAGCTGTGCGTGGGTGGACTGGAACCCCCAAAGCAACACTTTGTGGCCTGATGTATAAATATCATTTTTAGGAGAGTTGTCTGCTGGGAAAACCCAATATAGTGAGAACAATAAGCACAAGTACATATGTTTTTAATCCCCTGACCTATGTTGTATTTTCTCCCAAATGCTGCATTAAAATTTTGTTTCCATTGCTATTTCTCATGAAGGATAAATCCTGTAACATTCATATTTTGAAAACCTTTTCCCTTTAGACCAACTATCAAAAAAAAAGGCTAATGACTAGAAGATGGGCTCTAGTGCTAGAAGTAGATTTTTATGTGAATTTCCATATTGTCTTGAATTTTCAGAAAGACTGCTCTGGAAATATAATGTCGAAACTAGCAGCCTACACCTAATATCACTTGTAATTAAATTATTATTGTCATTTATAATAGTTTCTGAATTCATGAAAATTTTCTTACATGGACCAAAATAAATCGCTAAAAATATTTCTATTTCATATCTTAAAAGCATATTACTTGGTTTGCAGATTTAATATTGAGATGATTTTTGGTATCGTTATATTAAATATATTTATAGTTTTCTCTTTCCCCTCCTGCTTTTCGGAACTAGACTGAGATGCCTCGTGAAGCAGCTGGAGAAGGGCGATGTCAATGTCGCGCACTTGAAGAAGAACATCGAGTATGCGGCGTCTGTGCTGGAAGCAGTCTACATCGATGAAACGAGGTAGTCTTACCCTCTCTGTTCCTTTTCCTTGGTTGCCTCTCTCTTCCTTTCGTCTACTTTTGACAGTGTCTTTAATCAAATATGTGCTTTCTATCTAGTCTAGGAAACCAAAATGCCAATCATATTACTATGTAAAATATTCCTAGTCATTAACTACTTAACTAGACCACGATTCCTTTTATCAGTGCATATTCTAATTAAAATACTCAAATATGAAAATAGTTTAGTCATGAACTAAACTATGTTCATGGTATTCAAGTATTTTAAAGTCAGAATGCATTAATAATGAAAAGTATTATAGTCAAGTAAATGAAGTCATAAAACATTTACAGGGGAAAAGTTCCCTCCCCACCCACCTGCATTGCCCTTAGGCCCAGGCTGATTTTTCTAAGCTCCCTCTCTCCCTAGAAACAGATGTAGGCTGATCATGCATGTCTTCTTATATAAGAACTCTTCATATTTTCTCGGATCTCAGAGTGGCTGCTGAGATCATGGATGCCACATGCCCGCACATGCTCGTGGCCGGTCTCGGAGCCTTTGTGCATGGCTTGCTATGTGGCAGTCTCAAAGGGGTCATTGAGCATCCCCCAAGTTTAGCCTCTACATGCCATTCACAGGAGGGTAACGGAGATAGAAAATGAGAGTTATCAGAAGAACTTGTCAGCTTCAAGTTGTGGTGCTCCAGCAGGCAATTTTTCCCTCCAGTGGACACTTGGGAAAGTCTGGAGACATTTTCTGGTTGTTACAACCGTGTGCTGCTGGCATGTAGTGGGTGGGAGGCGGTGGGTTTGCTACTAACCATCCTGTAGTGCCCAGGACAGCCCCCACTCTAAGGAATTATCCAGTCACAAACGCCCATGGGCGGAAGTGAAGAGCACCCCTGCGAGAGGGTGAGCTGTGCCTTCTCGTTCCCTCCCTCCCAGAGAACATCCCCAGAATCTCACATCACACACAGGGGTTCCACAGCCCTGGGAGCTAACTGAAGGTCAAGACAGCCTGTTGTGACTTGTCATTTGCACATTTGACACTGACAAGTGTCTCTTACAGACATGGGGAACACTTAAACTGGTGCCTGAAAAAAAGGGACAGGTGACAGGTGGATGAGGACTCCCTGTGAACTCAGAGGGCAGAGGAGGCTTGGGGAGGCAGAAGCACGTCCAGAGTTGACATGACAGCTGCTGCGTTTCCCAAGTCAAACGGAAGCCAGACCAGAGCTCTCTGGAAGAAATCGACCCAAACCACTGTCTTCGGAGGGTGAAAAATAAGCAGCATTGGTTGGTTGTTGATGGAAGAGTTAAGGTAGTAATAGCAATGATTCACCCAGACGTTAGAAATTATATCACGTTGAATGTATCCTATTAGTATAACAAATTGTCTCTCAAGGATGCATAAAAGCTCTCTAGGACCCACAGCATCTGGACATTTGCCACAGAGTTGACAGTAAAACCACTTCAATCTAGCAAGACCTTTGGGTCCCTGTAGCTTTTTGCTCCCTCCCCACTATATGACCGGCATGATGTGCAGCAGTAAGTTAGTGGGACAGGGAGGGCGATGGAGAGTGGAGATACCCACCCTGCCCTTTCCCTCAGCTGCTGTCCAAACCAAGGTCATTCCTGAGCTTAAGGAAGGTGAGAAAGGTTAAAATAAATACGAGACTAAAGCTTTGATGTGGATGCATACTGCATTTAATTAACACACCGGGCACCCACAGCACATATAAAACTAATATTATTTAGGTAATACATGCTCATGGTTCAATAATGAAAATATAATTTTAAAAAGTCTTGTCTCCATCCTTGTCCCAAACTACCTTGTTTTTCCAACTTATACTTATCGTAGGAATCTTTCCAGGGACTTTTACAAATTTTTGTATCTTATTTTTCTGTCCTTACTTCATGGAAAGTAGAGACAGTTAAAGATTATTGTGCCAACCTGGCCGATAAACACGTGGGGTTAATTGAAGGACGGAGGATAAATGGCTCAGTGAGCCTCGCCTTTCTAGTTCCTGGGTCTCTTGCTTTGTGATGGTCACACCAGGGTGCACCTGCCTTAGCCAGTTCCCTGCTTCAGCTGGCAAGGTTCACTTCCTGCAAGACATCCCTGAGGAGAAGCCACATGAACCTACCCGGATGCAGCCCTGGGTGCTAGAGCAGCTGTGTGGAGACCCCTGCCAGCACTGACATGCTAACACATTCACTGACTCGGCTTATCTCCTGCAGTCGGTGTCATTGCGTGTGTTTTGTTAGATGGAGAAGGATTTTGTGGATTGCTGTCGGACATATGGGCTAATGTTGGACTTCTGGGTTTGGGCAGCACTGGGTTGGGATGTTTTCTTGATGTGCACTTACCTTTATATAAAACTCTCTCTTATACATATGGGTTTCTGTGGATTTGTTTCTGTACTGTACCCAGACTAACACACACACTATATTCATGGTTTTTCTCTTCGCCCCTCCAACCACAAACAAGGGAACTTGTAGTTCTCGCTATATCAGACGCTGAATTGTGTAATATTGCATAATGAGAATTTCATGAATAACTAACAGAAACTATAACAATATAGTGAGGGTTGCACTCCAGTGATGATTCTATCTTTGACCCCAGAACAGAACTGCTCAGCTAAAGCAAGGTCTGGGTCCAGAATTAAGAAAATGCATAGCAAATCTTTTAGATTATCAACTCAACCCAGAATCATTTTCCTGGTTAACTTTTGCAGAATTTTCATGCCTACACCCAAACCACTGGCTGTAGAGTTGTGGCATTACTAGAGTAAACTGCTCCCTGGGGTTTGTAAGGCTGTGAATCCATATGGAAGCAAATTGCTACACCTTTCTCACATGGAGTTGTTGGTGAGTTTGAACCACTAACCTTGTAGTTAGCAGCTAAGGGCTTTGACCACACTGCCACCAGCGCTTCCTTGAATGTGTATAGGCATATGATTCTTTTAAGTGAATAGAGTCAAAGTGGTAAAAAAGAAAGCAACCCCTGTTCTCATGTTTGTTTACTGTTTCCTTTTCATATGTATTTTATGTGCACGTTAGCTAAATATAACATATTTAAGTTTCCCATGACCAGTTAAATAGTTGGTATTTATTTATAAAATGCAAGTTCAGGCAGCTTCTAAGTCAGCAAGTGCGATGTTAAGCTGGAGGCGTCTCCTGACTCACATCGCCGTGGAAGCTGATGAGTGTCAGGAAGACCACAGGCTGGTGGCTGCAGAGGCAGACGAATCCAAGGTTAGCGGGTAAGGTGATGTTTCCCGAGATCGTCAGGCAATATGACAGGCCACTGGCTTCAGTCCAAAGAACTGGGGTCAATGAGCCAGAAGCAAGAACCAGACCCAGCAGAAAGCAAAGCAAGCTTGTTCTTATATTGGAAGGAGGGCACCCCCCTGAAGAAATGTCCTTTGAATTGCATCCTGGTTGTGGCTTGCGTAAGAATGAGGCCTTCCACCCTAATCTTTCCCTAGTATGGAAGCTCCCAACAGACTGGCTGTGATTGCATTGTGCTAGGGCCATTCCTGCGGGATTGCTAAGTGTAAACCGCCAAACCACCAAGAACCTTGGCCCAGCTAAGTTGACACAAAGCCTTAACTATTACGATACCATTTTAAAACTGGATTAATAATATGCCATATCTATACAACCTTCAAAGGCTTTTTAGTTTTATTATATTTATCTCATTGCAGTCTTCTGTACCTGTGATTACTATTACACATGCTTAGTGTTTTTCTTTCTATTTTGCTAATGGTTTTCTGAGGTCCCAGGCATTGGTAAAATTGAGACTAGAGGGAACACATTGCAATGACTGACATATAGCCCCCACCCTGCCCCACCCACACACCCCGCGGTAAAGGGGACAGAGGACAGTGTAAGATATGAAAATAATAATAATTTATAATTGATCAAGTATTCATGAGGGTGGAAAGGTGGGGGAGGGAGGGAAAAAAGAGGAGCTGATATTAAGGCCTCAAATAGAAAGAAAAGGCTTTGAAAATGATGATGGCAACATATGTGCAAATATGCCTGATAAAACTGATGTATGGATTGTTATAAGAGCTGTAAGGTCCCCCAGTAAAATGATTTATTTAAAAAAATGGGACTATAAACAAAGCTCTGGGCCTTGAACAGCAGTGATATAAAGTAACACGGTGTTTCATCACCTCAGAACAATTTAGATGATAATAAGTATTCTGATAGTGGAAGTGTAAATTCTAGAAAAATATTATTAAAATTCTTTAGGGCTTACCATGTGCCAGAAGTCTTCTAAGCACTTTATATGCAGTTAAAAAAAATTGGTTACCACAGCAACGAAGTTATCATAAACATTTTATTACTACCATTTTACCTTTAAGGAGGATAAGTCACACGAGTGGCATAGTTTACTCAAGTTACTCAGAGAGCAGGAGAACTTGTGAGATTGTTGCCTTGGCAGGACTGGAGTTGAACTTAATTCCGTAACTCCCATCTGCTTTTCTTCTGTAATGAGCTCTGGTGGCACTGCTGGGTCAGGGCTGGACTGTCATTCAAATCCTGCCAACCACAAAGGTAGTGGTTCAAAGCCACAAGCTGCTGCCTGGAGAATGACGAGGCTGTCTGTTCCCATACAGATTTGTAGCCTTGGAAACTTAATATAAATTGAAATTAACTTTATGGCAGTGGGCTTTTTCCCCCCTCCTTTTTCTTTCATAATGTCTGACCAAAAGTAATTTCAGAGGCTTTGAGAGTTTTGATGAAATCTCACATGTGATCAGGGACATCAGACTCAGTTGGCAGATTTATTTTGTTTCATTTCTTCCCAACTTCACCTTCTTTGAGATCATTTTGGTAGCTAGAATTGACTATCAGAGGAGTATTTATACCATGAAACTGTCAACCGCTACAAATCAGGTTTTATTTATTCCTGGAGAGTATTTGTTAAACATATATTTATATCACACTGGGGAGACTTATGATTACGTGCTATATATTGTCTAAGAACTATGATTTCAGCATCAAACA